GGGTCTGCTCCAGCTGGCTGGAGTGGTCCATCCACTCACCCCCCTTTAACCTGTTAACTGATTAAACAGTATGTTTAACTGGTTAGCCAATTAAACAGGATTTTACATGCCTACCCCACATACAGGGGCCTTACTCCCCCTATCTATGCCTTCCTTTAATTGGTTAACCAATTAAACATAATATTTAACTAGTTAACCAAGGGTCTGCTCCAGCTGGCTGGAGTGGTCCATCCACTCACCCCCCTTTAACCTGTTAACTGATTAAACAGTATGTTTAACTGGTTAGCCAATTAAACAGGATTTTACATGCCTACCCCACATACAGGGGCCTTACTCCCCCTATCTATGCCTTCCTTTAATTGGTTAACCAATTAAACATAATATTTAACTAGTTAACCAATAAAATGGGATTTTACATTCCTATTTACTAGCATATTAACATTTTCAGAGTCGTAGCTTTTCCCAATCCACTGATGAACAAGACATCTCGAAATTACAGTTTAATAATTTAAATACTAGAGGAGAACAGACATTTGATCTTTGCAGTGGAACGCAAAATGAACTAAGGACCCTCCGAAGTGAAAGAGGTCAAATGTTCAAGATCTTTGAGATACTATCTGTCAGCAGCTTACATGTAGCAAATCATCTGTAAAACGCAGAACAGTGACAAATTTTGGGACAGGCAATTTTAGAATCCAGCATGTGCTGGACTATGAGATCAAGTATCTATAATGCTCCTCCTCTCTGTAGTTACTGGATTTGAATGTCAATGAAATATTAGATGCTACAAACTGCCAGATATTATGCAACAAGGGAATGGGCCAACTTGTGTTCCAATATAATATTTCAAGTATTTTCACGTCATATTTCCCCAAATAAAGAGATAACTATAGCATTAAATAAGCTGCACCAACCAAAGTTTCAAACCTAGCCTCTTTCTTCCCAAATATATATAGTGCAGCAAATGGAATCTCTAGATAAAATGCTACAGTACTGGCAATTCTCTGCCATGCACATAGCTGCCAGAAAGGAAAGCTGTGGAAAGGGGTCTTTGCATCCTCAGGCCAGAGTTCTTATGCATACGTTACTGTTGCTGACAGTCTCGGCTGCAGATGGGAACGCACTGAAGACATGCTATGAAGCAGCTCTCCAGTAGACTTGCTTCTGAACTTCTATCAGATACATCTGCAGCAGGCTGTTTCCTCAGTCATCTTCCCCAACCTGCACTAGCAATGTTTGGTCCTTCTAAACCTCTTGATGGCATTTTCATGGGTTTCTCACTGGGAGCACAAACTCTTTATTGTACGGGCAAGGCACAAGCAGCACTTCTGCTTCTTCCCCGAACACCACGAGTTACACAGGACAAGACTCAAATGAAAATAAATGAATCTTTAAGGTTATGGGAAGCCAGAATCAATGGGATGAATATTTTGCAAACGCACATGGCTAGATGAGAGTAAATGTACCATAGGTGTAGAGGAAAGATGTCTTCCCCTGCATGTATAGGGACTGATCTCTGAGCTACTGATCCCCACTTGGATAAAATGTCACACCAATTCCCAAAGGAGAGTTCCAATAGAAGTTAGGTATTTGGGGGGAGGACCCCAGGGAGAAGGCTCTGGAATGCTGTATGATTCCAAAAGTCAGACTCTCAGAAGATGCAGGAAGTGTTTTCTAAGGCAGGCAATGGAAGTACCAAAACTAGAGAGTAGGGTAGAAAAATCCCATTTCAAGGGAACCTAGGATATAGCGCTGATGCCAAGCAGTTTGACAGGATGGGTGTGCATACGAGTGAGAACATTCATCAGGCATTTTTTATCCTTTTGTACCTGTCTACCATAGGAGGTCTCACCTTCCATTGTGATGGGAATGAGGAAAGAACTCAAACCACCCAAAAAGAACTCTAGGCCTGAAAACTATCCATCCAATCTCTAGGCTACTCTAATCCTCAGAAAGAAAGGGACCACCACGCTGATGGACAATGAATCTAGTGAAATTAACTCTCAGAGTTTATGGACATCAGCCTGAATCGCAACTGCTCATATAAAAATAATTTTTGCATCTGCCTGGAATACTAGATTGTTGCACATTTTTTCAATTGTCAATAAATGCAGAGCTTTGTTGTTGTTGTTTTAAACAAAGAGACTGTAGCATTCCTGAAAGTTGTCAGCTTTATTCTCAGCATTCACAGGTCAAGTGGGAGCAGTGATCAGGAGGAAAAAATCCCCTTGCTGCCCCATCAATATACCTTCAGTTTTGACTGACAGCAGTCTGAGAGTGGAGAGGGCAGGATTCATTCTCTGGGCTGTTTGAGCAGACAGAAATTGAAGATGCCAACTGTAACAGTAGTCTCTTGCTCCCTGAAAACTTGTCCACGAGGAAACAGTTTGAGACCATCGTCTCAGTTTCACAGGTCACCTCCAGCCAAACGGCTCAATATTCTATTACTAATCCCTTGAGCAATGTAGTGCCCAGCACTTGCCCTGTGTTTCAGCATAATCAAATGAGTGGGTAATCCTGGTGTGGTTAACATTATGGGCTGCTTTTATATGTTTTATCCAGTGCTGGAGTCAGAGATTCCAAATGAGACCACGTGCGCACTGCACTAGCATTTGGTTAAGAGTTACTGCATCAGAAACAGCGGCCTATGCAGCACGGTAGAAATGAAACTCAGCTGCTGCTCCCCAAGCCCTCTTCCTCTTGCCAGCTCTGTGAGTAACTCTGTGGCAGATAACGCAACTCCATGAGGTATCTTTGGGGATCACTGAATTTAAATGTATGAATGGTTTAGGGATGAATGTGATTAGCTCCTCCAGGTACTAAAAACAGTGGCGGGGTGACTAACACACATCACTGAAACTATAAACAACCCCAGAGAGGTTCCACCCCAGGGGCGGTGTGCATGTATGTGTTCCAACTGGGTTTCCCAGAGACCAAAGACAATGAGAAAAAGTGGGCTATATAAAGGCTGAGTATAAACAAGCACAGGGTCTTCCCTTAGATTCATCAGACATGATCATTAGTGCTAGGGAACCCTAACCCTAAAAGGAGGGGCTGGATGGGCATTGATCTACCAGGGCCCCATAACATTAATGAGCGATTTCTGGTACATATATTAGTAGGCATGTAGGGACCTATCTTGTGTGCATATTTTTCTTCTGTGATGCTTTTATCCTAACAATATATATACGTTGCTTAGAAAGAACTGTGTGATTACAAGCAATGCC